GGGGCACGAAACGGGGACCGGCGGCGCGGCACGGCGAGGCGGGCAAGTTTTCAGTAGCTGCTGCAGCACTGCCTCGTGCTCTAAATACGGCCGAGAGGTAGCCTGACACCAACGTCCGCGCGGCGTGTTGGTAGTAAGCTCGGACGGGGGGGCACTGGGGCGATTTTGGGCGGTGCACTTCAGCGGTACCAGGCCGGAAAAGCCAAGCCACACACAACTTTCCCACAGGCAGATTCTCATCACCCAGGCTATATATTATATTCGAGGTGCAACGAACGGGGTCCAACAGCATGGCGAGTAGAGGCAAGTGCAGTGGGCGGCTCCGGGTTGTAGTCTCCAGGTAGGGCGGCCGATTCCTTCCGAGCGAGGCGGACTGGGCAGCCAACTCTCCTTGTGGCTCGTCAATAGTATATTTAGTTGCCAACAAAAAACAGAAAAAAGCTGTGTGTGTGTGTCCAGAAGAGAGAACGCGCGCCTCACAGAGATGCACACACGCCCTTGTCGCACAGGGCTGCCCTACTACCCGAACGCGTACCCCGGCCGGCCCGTTCTTAACGCCAGTGCCGGACACGGGTCAGCTGTGAGCTGTGAGGGGCTCCCCCCCCCCCCCCCCCCAACGCTAAATAGGAGGATGGCCAGCTTCTGGTTCATCATCCTTATGACCCGTAGCCTGGGCCGGCGAAACCTGGCCGCGTATCCCTCCCTCCCGGCATTGTAGGGACGCGAGACTCCAACGGCCTAACGACTTAACGGCATGCGTTTCGCACGAGGCGAGGTCAAACGACAACTGCATAAATGCGTTCGCATGAGGCACAACAGGCGGATGCGAGGTGGTCAAAACCTCCAAAAAACGACTACTACATACAGGGAAGATGCGGTTTTACACGAGTGCATACAACACACACACACACACACACCCCTTACCTCGAGCTTCGTTTTCGACGGAGACGCGGGGTCGAAGTTAACCAGCATGTTCTCGAGCACGGCGGTGACGGGGAGGAGAGCCTCGAACGGCCCGCGGTCGATGACGGTCCAGGAAGAGGTGTCGGTGAATAGCGCCTCCGCGAAAAGCTCGGGCGTCGCCACGTTGGGTCCCATCGACTGGCAAAAACGTGTCATTGTTGTTATTCCGTAGAATCGTGGGGGGGGAGGGGGGGGGGG